GTGAACCACAGTTACTTGAGATAGTTTATCTTATTACATGCATGTTACTGAGTCCAAGGAACAGTCAACAATGAGCAATCAGCATATGTTGCTCCTATTTCAAATGTCACTTTTTAAAAAACCTGAATATGTATTTTATTGGGGAGGATTTCAAATATGAGAATACTAGATTTGCATCTTCTCTCCTGTCCCCTCTCTCCCTTCAAACTCCTCTGTTCCCCATGTCTATTCACTTCTTTACTTATGTATATGTGTGTCTGGCTGGACATTTTCACATGCAGCATGGACTGGCAGGACCTGGTACAGAGCAGAAGAGGGCACAAATTCCTTGGAACTAGAGTTCCAGGTGGTGGAAGGCAGTGTGGGCTCTGGGAGCCAATCTGAGGTCCCTGAAAGAGCAGGAAGTGCTCTTCCTGCTGATTCATATGTATACAGGAAAGTAATAATATAGGAAAGTGACGGAGGAAAATAATAATGGTTATTACAAAAACTCTGGAAATTTTAACACAAAAGAAATTAATCTCCCATAATAATATTTAGCTACTCTTAACTTATTTTTTTACTCTTAACTTTTAACCTTGCATCTTCCAATGCTTTTAAATGTCCAAACATACATTTTTTATTATCAAAACAATCTGCTAGTATGACAGACTGTTTTTTTTTTCATTTAGCAAAATACTATAACATTTTCTATGCTAATAAATATTCTTCGGCTCTTGGACTTTGGAGAGTAACTTGATAGCTGTCATATTAAGGTGCTGGAATTTAATTACCCTGTTCTTTCACATTTTATTTATCCGTATATTTTGCTGATGGCTTTCATATGATTAATGATATTGTTGGTATTCAACATTCCAGAAGTGTGAACAAATCAATTCCTTTGCATTAGTATCTATGTGAAGGAGAAAGTCGTTTTTCCTCAAGTTACTATAGAGTCTTATACCTTGAAAAGGAAACCCTTGGCAGTCTGTCACCTGGAATAGTTTCTGTGGCAGCTTTCCTCACAAACGAGCCAGCCTCTTCTTCATGTCTGCACCACTTACTCACAGACCAGAGCCCTCTACTTCTCTATGTATGCTCTGGCTTTCCGTGCTAATATATCAGGCATAAGAAACACAATTCTGACACAAATTGACTTTGAAAAGTTGCTTCCGAAACCTTTAGAAGTGCTGCTCTTCAACTAGTGTGGTTGAGAATCTGGGAAGGATGTTAGAGGTAGGATGCAGGCAAGATAGCACAGAATGCTGACTTAGCTAATAGAAACCAAGTCGCTAATACAGACAGGCATAGCGTGTGTCTGATTCGCAAAGTACAGTTAGCCTAATTGATTTCTGCATACTTGTGGATAGGGATCTGCCCTCTTCCATTTATTTTCCTCTTGACAAGTAGGATGTGAAATGTTGTTCCATGCCTTTCTAATTTAAATGTTGCACATGTTGAGACCTGATATTGCCAGCCGTTTTAAGCTTGGCCCAAAACACAGCACATTGTTGTTATTAGCCCTCATCGGTTGGTTACAGCCAACATTCTATTTGGAACTATAAGGAGTATAAATCTCCATTATAGACATAACCTATTCCTGCCATAAAATAGATACAGTGAGAAGGCAGAGCTAAGTCTCCTGAGCGAATTACTTTTGTTGACCTCATGACTCTGACTAGGTCAGGATTACTCACTTTGAAACTATTCTCGGGAAATAATGTTTGAATTTAAGTTAGCATATATATGTTAAAGGTGCTTTAAAGGGAGTAGTGAGACAAGTTAAGATAAAGATAACAAAGTTCATGTTCTTGAAGATTTTGTGATTGAGCTGAGAAAGGGACACCTATAAGCGAGGTGCTATATAGGACATATCCATCCATCAAGATCAGAGGGAGCTTAGAGGGGGGCAGAGCATCACCTCACAGCCTACACATTGGACTACGAGAGATGTCCTTAGAGCCACGTGCCTACATCCCATTCCGTTTGCCACGTGAGGAGTCATTTTGTCTCCTCACACTTACTATCATTTTTCAAGGGCATGTAGACATCCTAGTGGTCAACAGTGCTTTCCAATCACATTTTGCTTTATTATATTTATTATAGTTTTATTATAATGCATATTCATTTTTAATGAGTGTATGTTTCTACCAAAGGTATTTGTAGATTTTTTTTATTGCATGAGAATTATATGCTGTTATACAATATGATTTTTAAATATAATTTTAAATTTTATTAAAAATAGAATTTTTCATATAATATATTCTGATCACAAGTTCTTCTCTCCCAGCTCCTTCAAGATCCTTCCCACCTTCCCAGCTACTCATCCACACCAATTTTTCTCTCTACTAGAAAACAAATAGGCAAAACCAGAATAGGAGAAAACAAACAGGAAGAAAAGAGCCAAAGAAAAAATGTAAGAAACATATTCAGATGCAGACACATGCATACATTACCATACACAGAAATCCTATTTAACAAAAAAATTGGAGACCATTCTTTGTAAGCAAAAGATCTGTAAGGTCAAAATGTGCCCAGATAAGGTATTATGAGACAAAAACCCTCCAAAAATAACATTGAGTTTGTTCCATGTTGGTCATTTGAGCATGGGGCCTGCTTTTTAAGTGTGGTTTGTAACCAGTAAAACATAGTTAGAAAAAACTAATTTTTCTTTTGCAAGTAATTGTCAGTTGGAGATAGCTTATGGATTAAGGATGGGAGCCCGTGTCCACACAGGGACTCCGTCTGGCTTACACCCGTGCAGTCCCTCTGCACTGCCACAGTCTTCAGTGTTCACATCTGAATCAGCCCTGTTTTGTCTAGAAGGCCTTCTTTCCTTGGTGTTTCCAGCCCTACTGGTTCTTACAATCCTTCTACCACTTCTTCTGCAAAGTTTCATGAGCCCCAAAGAGAGGGAATTGATGGAAGTGTATCATTTAGGACTGAATGTTCCAAGGTCTTTCACTATACATTGTCCATCTGTGGGTCTTTTTGCTCCCATATGCTTCTAGAGAAAGCTTCTCTGATGATGAACAAGCAGGACACTGATCTATGAGGATAGCAGAATATCTTTAGGAGTCATTTTATTGCTATGGTCCTTTAGCAGTAGTATTTGATATTCCTGTAAGTCCATGGCCTATCTAGCCTCAGGTTCTTGTCCACTGGAGCAGTGACAGGCATGTGTTCCATCTCATGGAGTGTGCCAATCAGACAGTGATTGGTTACTCCAACACCTTTTGTGCCCTAATTGCATGTGGACAAAATAATTGGTGGCTGGGTTAGTGTTTACCTATATCTTCTGATGGTGTTCAAAGTACCTTTTAGTATCATGGACACTAGACAGTGGGAGTGTAACCTCTAAGTGGGCACTGGCTTGACTTCTCTATATTCACTGAGTTATATACAATGTGGTTTTGATCAAAGCCCCTCCCATTCCCTCTGCTTCAGTTACTTTATTACCTCCTCCCACCATATCTCACCAGCACCATGTCTTTGTTTTTGGGTTGTTGTTGGTGATGGTGGTTTTAGTTTTAGTTTTTCTTATTTTTTCTCCCATTAAATCTGTTCAGTGCTGCCATTATGTACATGGGTCAAGGCATCTACTGAAGCATGGCTAGCCTTTCAGGAGGGAGGCATATCCTTCAAGAAAAGTAATCCTTCTTACCTTCATCATTTTCCAGTAGTTCACAGCTAGGAGTGAGATTTTATGATTACCTCTCACCTACATGGTAGGATTTTTGTTTGGTTTGATCTTGTGCACTTACATCTGTTGTAAGTTTATGTGTCCAATTGCCCTGTTTTGTCCAGAAGACACTTTTTTGATGTAGTATTATTGCCTCTGGCTCTATAATCTTTCTGCTGCCCTTTCTTTGCCCATACCTTAGGAGGAGGTGTGCTGTAGATGTCACATTTAGGGCTTAAAACTCTGCAGTCTTTCATCCTTTGAATGTTGACCAATTGTGAGTCTCTCTGTGAATTCATATACTGATAAAAGAAGATTGTCTATTGATGGTTGAGAGATACACTAATTGATTGCTTTAAGGATAAGTCATTATGAGTGAATTTAATTATATATACTTTTAATAGAATAATAATAGGAGTTTTTCTAGGGCCTATGACCTGTCTAGTCACAGGTTCTTAGCCATGTAGCAGTGCTAGGCATGAGTTCCATCTAAAAATTGGTCTAGTTATTTGCAGTTTTGGCAAAAAGAATATTCTGTAATAGTGTGACTGTACTTTCACATTTCCAGTGCAGTAGTCATTAGCGAGAGAGAAGAGTGTAGTACCAGGAAACCATTCTAGGCTGCCCACATCTCTATCCCATAGAAAATACAGAGGAATGGAAATGGAAGTTTAGACCCCTGTTATTCCCCAGGAAAGGGACACCTGTTCTTGCCCTGTACCCCAGCTCATTTGTGCCAAATGAGAGATGTAACCTCCAGTCCCTTCAGTCTGTGGGGAAGATCTAGAGGGTCCTTGCAGTTTGGAGGCCATGTTTTATCCATGTAGTAGGATCTTCCTACACACAAGCTGACACCCTTCATTGGTCCCATATCTGAGTATGTAGTTCTTTCCACAAAACATCCTTCTTGACATACCTATATTGAAAAAAAACACACACGGGTAGTATTACCCAGTGTCAAATCTCTTTAGTACAGGTGATTCACATAACTGTTAGACTTCATATGTCTGTTTCACGTATTTTCATTGTGGTTATAAAATTATACAAAGTCATTGTCTTCTACATTTTTCCTTTTGCTGTTTGAGCCTATATTAATTTCTCTGATTACAATATTTTAGCCTACAAGTCTTCATGGAAGGAAACTAGTTCAAATCTAATTGGCTGTCAACCAACTCTGAATATTGCTGGTACTTTTACTAATTGCCTTCAAATGTAGCCATGAGGTTGGAGGTTGGATGAATGTTTGTGAATGATGGTTTTAGGGAAGCCAGCCTATTTCAGTGTTGAATTCATAATCACCATATAGTAACACATCTGTCTCCTGCTTTTTTAATTTCAGTATCTACTAGAAATGAAAAGCTTAATCCTCCCACCAGAACACATCCTGAAGAGAGGAGACAGTGAAGCAATAGCATATGCATTCTTTCATCTTGCACACTGGAAGAGGGTGGAAGGGGCTTTGAATCTCTTGCATTGTACGTGGGAAGGCAGTAAGTAATTTTTTTCTTTGAACAATCTTTAAGAACATGGAGTGCTAGAACTGTTTATACTGCAACAGCTCATGATAAACAATGAGAACTGGCAAGTCTGTTTTTTTGTTTGATGCTCTAGATCCCCAGAGATAGGAGTGTTGCTGTGGTGGTGCCACGTCAAGATTAGAAGCATATCTTCATAGAAGAGATAACTCATCTGGGTCTGCTAGAGAAATACTTTACCACCCAGCAAACCCTCTCTAGAGACATGCATAGCCCCTTGACATAATTGTAACTTTTGCCTTACGATGAAGTCTTGTGTTGGGTCCTGCTAACCATTTCATATAGCCTCAGCTGTAGAGTTGGATAAGAGATGCAGTTATCTCACTGAAGTAAAATTGAGCATCTACAAAAGCACCCTAGATATGTTTAAAACAGCAGCAGTGCCCATTATGGAAGTGGCTTACGGGAGGTGGGGCACCCCTATGAATAATAAATGTCCATTAGATGGCCCTGGCATGTTCTCTACGGTTGCCGTCACTCTGTGTAAGGTAACAGGCTCTACGAGCAGGTGGTATGCATGTCTCCATCTTCTGTTCCATGTTCTCTGTGAGCAGGAGGAAAGGGCTGCCTGTGCCGGCTGTTTGGTGATGTTTTCAGAAGGTAGAGGTTTGCAGATTACAACACGGGGTTACAACACCAAGGACAAAGTCTGGTAACAAGTGAACAAGCCCTGAAAACCAGGGCAATAGACAAGCAAACATAGTGTGTTAAGAAATGGTAAGTTGTTAGGTTGTTAGGAGATTTTCAATTAAGGAAGAAGAAGCAATCCTTTGTTTTTGGACCACATGGACACAGAAATACTGCTAATTCCAATTTAAGCAAAACAAGCATAACGTGTAGTATTTTCTTTTCCTTATGGAAAATCAAAACCAAAAAATATTATAGTGTCTATTATCTTTTTCCTATTTTATCCTTACTTTAATCAGGCTCACAACAAGTCTTTTTAAATCCCTTCTGTTCTTTATCTTTTTCTGCTTCCATTTTCAATTTGACAAGCGTCTGTTTCTTCCTGTTCCTGCCCTTCATGACACAGGAAGAGTCTAGCCTGGTTCAGGAAGTGATGTGGGCTGAGAGTGTTCACAGAGATGCTTTCAAAGGCGGTTGGAAATTTTTGATTTAGTTGCTTTGACATTTTTTTCTCAGATAATTAACAAGCTTTCTTTGTATAATTTTCTGCTTATAACTTGAAAGCTATGGATTTGCCAATGCTTCTCCCTCTGCTTGGTGAATGTAATAGTCTAGCCAGGTGTCCAGGTCAGTAGACTCCCTCAAGAGACTATGGGCTTGTGCAAAGTCTCCTACAACTTGTGCTGATCATTGCTTGTAATGTTAATTGTTAAAAAGACAAAAGGAAATGTTAATTCAACAAGAGAAAGATTCCTAAAAGCTCAGCTGACTCAAATATGAGTCATAACATCTAGTGTCAAAAGCTAGATGGGACAATCGGCTTAGCGACTACACCAACAGGTTGGCATCTGGGACTAATAGTGGCAACTCATCAGTTGGAGCTGTTGGAAAGGACCTCAGACTGGACAAAGCAGAGTGTGATAAATGCATGGTCTGAGGAGGGACATCACCATAAAGAATTAAGATGCTTTGAGGAATAACTGGAAATGTTGGGAAGATAGTAATCAGCCAGCAACATGGAGTTTCTCTGAAACAACTGGGAAGGGTCACAAGACAGAGAGAACCATCTAATGACACCGTGAACTGCCAAATGGAGCAGGGTAGGAGTATCAGGGAATTACCTTAAGCTACATGGATAGAAGGCATTATTGCGATTAGGTGGGTGAATTTTAATACATTAAATAGTAAGGTAAGGAAACAAGAACCCTATAGGAAACATCAACTGGGACATGTTTTATGTTTCCTATAAAAATCAGATAGCTGTGACCCCTGCCCACTTCAGGTCCAGTGCCATTCATTCTCCAGAGACAGCCATGCTGAGCAATTTTAGAGCAGAGGTGTACATGTATGCTTACTGTGTACTAGATACAGGATGAAATCTGAACACCAGGAACCTTGAGGGGTGTTTTCATACCCAGGTGATGTCCACTGGTCTGGTATTGCGTCTTTTCATTGCAGCCTGGCTAACATTCTAGCTTAGGCAGGAAGAAATTGTCACCTCTGTTCTCCACTGTGGTGAGTAGCTGTTTGGTTCAGACAGCCAGGAGGCAAGGCAAGTCCATATTTCTCCTCTGCAGTGAACACAGGAGCGGGAAGAGACTAGTTATCTTTGACGAGTTTGCTTGGAAGGTCACGATTTAGATTTATATCACTACATATAAGCTAGGGACTGCTGTCTTGTAGTTGGTACTTTATAGTTTAGAAAGTTACTTATCTTGGATAAGATTAAAACGTACTATTTCTCTAATGTTGATTTAAACATTTCAATAAGAATAAGACAATAAATAGTACATTCGTATAAAAAGGGGAAAGACTCTGAAGTGAACACACCCAGCTTCAGCGGCCGTGCTGAGTGGCAGGCGGCTTTCGTTTTCTTCTTGACATTGGCACCCTTCACATTTTGTACAACTTTCATGTGTGGTTTCAATAAGCAAAAGATGTATACGAATGTGTGTGTGTGTACTTATGCATGCACATACACATATCTAGAAAAGGTTTCATGATAAGTGTTTTTAGCCATTCTTTCTTTTCTTTAAAAAAAAAAAAAAAAGCTATAGGTTTCCCTGTAAGTCAGAAGAAAGAATCACCACTCCAGCCTCGGTGATTTTTACATTTAGATTAGAGATTCTCAGGTCTGTGTTTTAAAGATTTGTGTTTACTCTTTGAAAATTATGTGTGTGGGACTAGAAGGGGTGGGTAGTGCATATAAGTGCAGCTGCACACAGAGGAGTTGATTAAATTCCCTAGATCTAGAATTACCAAGGGTTTTGTGCTAACAAGCTGCCCAGTGTGGGTGCTGAGAACTAACTCAGGTCCTCTGGAAAAGCAGTTTGTACTCTTAACTATTGGGCCGTCTCTCCGGCCCCACGGCTGTGTTTTAAGTCAGAGAACATGGGTTAGAGTTCTGGCTCAGCTGCTGATAGTGGTATCTACTTATCTAACTTTGGAAACTGTAAAGCCATAATGAAATGGAAAATTGTACCCTGACTGCCACGTGTTGGTGACTCCCAAGCTGTTAAGGCAGCTCTTCTATGATGCAGGGTCTCCCCCAGCTGCTTCATCTGATGAGGCTGCACTTCGCCCAGTCTGCCGCTTGGTGGCGCCTTTTGACATCTCCAGCATCAGAGTTGAGGTTTTCTTCTGAGTCATTGATTTTCTTCATTCTGAAATGTAAGGCCGTTCCCTAACTCCACTCAACTTCCCAATTTTATTAGAAAGAGAACTCAGAACAGAAGATCTTACCAGGTTCCATGTAAAAAATGTTGTATTTTAGAAATATTTAAAACAAAGCAACCTTGGTTCTATCTTGTGTTGATTACGGGGTAGAAATACTTGCTGTTTTCTCTTTCAATGAATTTATCATGTTAGAGAATTAGTCACTCTGTAGAATTAAGTGGGGTTTCCATCAATTATGTTGAACCCTCCCTCCTTTCTGTGAACTCCGAAGTCTGGCTGATATATAACAGAGATTGTGTTGGAAGCATATGGTACTTACACAGGGGGTCGGGGTACACCCTTGAATTCTCAACCACAAACACATCAGCATTTCAAAGGTTTCTAAAGTGTTTGATTCATCACTGTCCCAGCCCCCAAAATTATACAATCAAAGTCCAGATAATTAGAAAAAAAAGGGGGGGGAAGAGTTTTGACTTTAAGCCTTTATGTTTCTTGGACTATTGCACAGCCACCACCTTATCGGAATTGTGTTTGCTTTAAACACTGCTGGCTCTGGTTCTCCTCACACACAGGCAGCACCACAAGTACAAGCTGAATACAAAGATCATGTATGAATGAAAGCAAGGTCTCATTTCAACTGAGTTTGCACTAGTAATCACTTTCCGTGGTCTGTTCTCATCTTCTGTTTTACCTATGTTCAGTTCTGATGTGTCCTTATCTCCTCCCAGCTTGATCTTTCTAAGACTCTCCATTCGAGGTATTTATTTTAGAATGCATGGTTGTTTGTTGACCGTAACCTTGAACTTTAATTTTCATGTTCTATACACCAGAAGACAACTAGGCCATGGGATAAACTACTTAGCTTTTCTTTGTGTCTATGTTTTTTCACTCAACCAAATAGAACTCTTTATTTTCTTTGTAGAGCCCCCACCCCAGGAATCTACTAAATAATGTATAAGATTTGAAGGTGGTGCATCTGAGGGGGACTAAGCAGAGTGTTTCCATTGAGAAGGGAAAATGGCCCATTGTTGAACCATAGGATGAGATTATGATTCTAATGTATTCTCTTTGAACCTAATGTCAAATGCTCTTCCCTGTAAGATGTGGTTCTTAGGGCACTTCCTCTAGCTAAGCTTTCCCTCCATAAAGCTAGTATCATTTGGACTTCTAACTGACCCTTGCTGCTACCCCTAAACAGATCTAAGGATACATTTTATGATTTGAAGGAAAGCAACAGTTGGGTAAAGCCCCTGGTCAGAGCTGACACACTGACAGCCAGTCTCTAGTTTATGGCGTGAGAGTCAGGATCTTCCTGTGCTTCCAAGGCTGGCCCCAAACATGCATGTTACAGTGATTATCTTACTTCAGTCTCTAGAATAGTACAACAGGCCTGTTCCTGTAACCTTGGATTTATTTAAGTACTGAAAGAAATTCATGTCTTCCTGATTGCATACACTTTATCGAGCAAACATTTATTGAATCCTTCCCCCGTAACAGGCTTTATGTTTGCAGAAATCAAGGTGTAAATGCTTTGTAAGAAGCATTTGTGTGTGTCTACATATATTTTCCAATACATGATTTATGCATATGTGTATATAAGCAACTACACACATATTTGTGCATATAGACAGATAGTGCAGGCAATGCTAGTGCGGCCATAGGAACTGAGAATAAGTGTAGGGGGTCACTAATGAGTTAGGAAGTTAACTGTAAAACCTTAAAGTTCCTTCTTCAAAATTGGGGAAAACCATGCTTAAATCCCAGCAAAGGAAAAGGAGTTTCTCAAGGTCAGTTTACTTCACTGTTATAGTTGAAAGAATATGGATCAAAAGCCAGGCTTTGATCTCTGTCTTTTCCTTATTTCTGCATTGAAATGACTAATGAAAGACAGGTGGCCTTCATGACCGTTCCTTGTACTGCAGTCAGACATAGCACATACGACTTGTGTTTGGATGATACTGTCCTGCTCCTGCAGCTGCAGGCCTATTTGTTAGCCCACAGCAGCATATTCACTCAGTGCGCCCCGATGGAGAAGGTGAGGACTTTTTAGGTTCAGTAGAGAAGGAGGGAAGGTAACAGGAACCCTGATCCGGACATGGCAGCTTGGCCCTTGGGTCTGAACTGTCCCAGCATAGGCACAGTTGACCTTAGAATCACTGCTATAAAGACGCTTTTTGACAAGAAACTAATGATAGGACGTTGAGCTGGAATTCACTCTCAAGTCTCTGTGTTACAGATAATCTCAATAATGTTCTGTTTGAAAGGAAAAATAAGAAAGGAATGTCAGCTAAATATCAAAAAGTGTCTTCTATCCGTCTGTATGATGTGTAGGGTGACCATTCGTTAATTTTCTCATGTCTCCTGACTCCGTCAGTCTGTGGTTTTGTTGATACCCTCTCAGATGTTGCTGCTGAGAGATTCAGACCTGTATAGCACTGAGCAGCTTGGTGTCTAGGAAGTGATTTTGACTAGGGAGGGCAGGAGACAAGTATATGCTTAGACTAGATTGTACAGGATGTTTTGCTGTGCTCCTTAAGTAATTCGGGACTTTAGTTACACCTCTGAGCAAAGGCACAAGCAACATCAAGACAAGGAGGATGCCCCATGAAGAAATACGTGGAAATTCCACTTATATACTATTTTTTTTTAAAAAAATTGAAAGTAGACTAGGTTTCCTGCTTAGTTTTGAACCACATATTTGGACAATTTTAATTTATCAAAAGCAAATAGGAGTCTGGCATGACTGCCCTCGGAGAGGCCCAACAGGCAGCCAAAAATGTCACATGCAAATACTTACACCTAACCAATGGACAGAAGCCGGGGACCTGTGGTTGAATTAGGGAAAAGCTGGAAGAAGCCGAGGAGGAGAGTGACCCCATAGGAAGACTAGCAGTCTCAACTAATCTGGACCCCCAAGATCTCTCAGACACTGAGCCACCAACTAGGCAGCATACACTAGCTGGTCCGAGGCCCCAACACATACACAGCAGAGAACTGCCTGGTCTGGCCTCAGTGGGGAAGATGCACCTAACCCTCCAGAGACTTGAGGCCTTAGGAAGTGGGGAGGTCTGGTGGGGTGGGGTGGCGGTCGGGATGTATTCTTGGAGACAGGGGAAGGGGGAGTGGGATGGGAAACAGTTGGAGGGCAGACTGGGAGGAGGATGGGGACTGGACTATAAAAAATATAATAATAATAATAATAAATTTCTAAAAGACTTTTAGGAAGCTCATAGTCATTTGCAAACAGTATCCTTTTTTGTTTTTTGTTTTTTTCAAGACAGGGTTTCTCTGTGTAGTTCTGGCTATCCTGGAACTCACTCTGTAGACCAGGCTGGCCTTAAACTCAGAAATCCTCCTGCCTCTGCCTCGCAAGTGCTATGATTAAAGGCCTGTGCCACCACTGCCTGGTGAAAACAGTATCTTCAAATCATCTATTTCTGTTCATATTTAACCATTCAGTAAGTGTGTTCTTAGGATTTACACTGACAGAATCTCTGGACATTTGGTGAACACTTCACGACTCATGAAGCCAGTGCCTGTCTCAGTGAAAAGGGCAGGAGGTAGGAAGAGAAGCTGGCAGGGGTTTTGTCGTACCTCTTCCCACTTCTTCAGACACCCGTTCTTATCTCAGGCTTTGTTGGACACTCCACAGCAGGGTGGATGAAGGGTAGAATTGCAAGTAGAATTGTGTTTGCTTTTGTTTAGTGAAGTCAAATCTTAATATTATTTTTATGAGCTTAATGTAAATGGTATCTGACATGAGGAAAAGAAATCTTAAGGATTCCATAAACATGCAGGAAACATATCCATATATATTTATAAATTCTGTATTAGCAAAATCTCCACCCTTTCTGAAAAAGATGAGAAAAAGATTAAAAGAAAAAAAGGATTAAATTGATGCATAAGGGTCTCTGTGCATGCCAAATGTGGAAGGGAAAGTCTCACTTGAAGATGCCATTCGACCATTAGATTTCTATAGTCAAGCACTCCCAAGGATGTGAGAGCCTATATTTCTCTTTAAACAAATCCTTTCCTGAAGTTCAAACTGACTTCAATTTTGAATGAAGTTTACTTTTCAAAATAAGTAGCCATTATGAAAACTGCTTTTTTTCCTTTTGTATCATATGAACCTGAATAGATTACAAAACAATAGCCTAGTTATCCATGGAGACTAACAGAGAGAGAGTGGAAGTGAGGGATGCTTTCGGAAAAACTATCATTTATAAAAAGGTCTATTGAAATCCTGCCATTCTGCAGCTTAAGTGTAAAAATATGTGCTCTCCGGAAAAGATTTTAGTGAGTAGATGCTATACAGTCACTACAAGGTTGTTTTTTTCTCTTGATTTGTTTGTTTTGTCTGATGTTTTGTGTTGTTTGTTCTCATTGTCTTGCAAGCCTGGTTCTGGTGAGAGAACTACTGGTTTCTTCTTCAACATCTTTGCGACTTCACAACTCATGACATAACTCTGCTGTCACTTGAACTAACTGGCAAACGTCAACTTTGTTTATGGGGAAGATCTGATTGAAGTAGGGTGAACCTTCAGTTATAAGAAGAGCTAAAGTCTGGGGTGCTTTTAATGTTTTAATCTGTTTAAGAGGTTTCTGTTACAAAAAGAAAATTTGTAACATTTTTACCTCAGCAAACTGCCAGCAAACTGGCTCTGTTGTAATCCCACATTTATCGTGATTTATATTCTCCATGGCAATGTGTTATAACCTCACAGTGATACCACTGTGGTGTAGATTGACTGCATTCCAAATGCTGGGAATTGCATACATACTGTTTTTACTTTTAAATAATATTCAGACACCAGAATAAATACCATATGTGCACTGATGCTGGTTACAATGGGACCTTGTCATTTCTTGTGAGGGAGAATGTTCTTTGTTTCAGATTCTTATTTGAAATCAGTATGCAAAAGGCACATCTGTACGTTGACAGCATTTTGTAAAGGCTTTGGTAATTACAGGGCTAAGGATGCAGAATGATTCCTTAACATGCAGCATTTAAAACTATGAATGCTGCTGCTCATTGCCACCATCCCTCATGGACACACATACAGGCCAGGATTGTTGTTCATGGACGTTCCTAGGGTAGTGTGCAGCTTTTCCATTCTGTATCTACAATATGCAGCCGTTAAAGGACATCTGTTGAAGAAAAATTAACTCCGTGAGCGCTGCTCATAGGAACAGTGAGACTAACATGCTGCTGACATCGGAACAGGGAGAATAACACACTCAATAATGGGGATGGAGGGATTGATTGGAAAACCATAATTCAGTGTAAAGCCTACTGCCATCCGATGCCATAGACACAGAATTTAGGTGGCCTGACATCATCAAAATGTAGACGATCAATCTCTTCTAGCCATCCCCCCCCACACCATGATATTGAAAGATTTAAAAGGTTCATAAAGTATAGAAATACCTCTCAAATCATATGCTTTAAGTTTGTGTATTTGTCCATCCTGGTTGGAGTTCTAATCCACTTAGACATGTTTTTAAACTAGACACAGCAGAATGCCTTTCATACTTGTACAATCTGCAGCAAGCTCCAGCGAGCCAGCCCACATTCACTTCTGGGGAAAGCACATCAATCCAGGTTTGAATTATTACAGTTGCTTTGGCCTTATTGAATTAGTGCTTAAAACATTTTCATAATATTTTATACATGATGAAACCCTGGGCATTGATATTGATGGTTTCCATGCCCTTCTGCACCCCTATCTCCACCCAGTTTTGTGAGCCCAGAATATATAGTGTGAGATTAATGTGTGAGTAATGCATCATAATGCACCCCTGACATTTTGTCTGGCACATGCCTCAGAGTTTGGGTAAGTCTTGCCTCTCTTAGAGCAGCGTGTTCCATAAAAAAATGCTCAAAAGTTCTGTTTTGTGGTTGGGAAGTTAGGGGATAAATACATATCCCTTTAATGTGTTGTCTTTCCTTTGTAGCTTTCCGGATGATCCCGTATCCCCTGGAGAAGGGACACCTATTTTATCCATACCCAATCTGTACAGAAACAGCTGACCGGGAGCTGCTTCCCTGTAAGTGTCATCAACCTGTGCCCTGCCTTTCACCCAGGGAGGGGACATTACATAATAGGTGTGGATGTTGTCATTATTTTCTCCCAACCCCTGGCCTCTTTGATAGCATAGGTACTGAAATAAATTATGTGAATGGGTTGGACTTCCTGCTTCTTCAAGTCTTTCCACATTCATCAGAAGGAAAGATACTATGAGCCTGAAATTTAACAGAGGCATCATGTATATATTGACACAAGCATACAGAGCCCTGGCATAGAATATCTTCTCTACAGGCTGGTTTATCACAGAGGGGTCTACTTGGGCTCTCCTGCAGGTAAGAGGTGGTCTGTACAGGCTGGGGTTTGAAGAGGAAGTGCTGATGTCAGAAGAAGCTGCAGTTCGGTCATGGGTGGGAGGGCAGGACCAGGCTACTGGTATCGCTGCCAGAGGCAGAGTCCCGAGTGGAGAAGGCTGGTGTGCTGTCCATGGTGATGCAATACTCCTGGCCAGACAGCGCCTGTGAACGTCTCGTGGGTTGCACGCACTGAGTTGGCTGACATGTTCAGAGTACACATGCAGCCTGAGCACTGTCGTAGAGTGTGGGAGGAAGACCCTACCCCCAAGCGCCTTAGGCCTTCATAGCCTAATGCTCTTGTGGTAACATGTGGAATGGATTGTTTTGGTTTACTGTAATATAACATTGTTTTGACAATCCAGGCTAAATAGTTATTATCCAATCAGACTGTGTGCAGGGATCATATCAAAGCTCTTCATGTGGCCCTGACTTGGGAAATATTTTCCTCCCTCAGATGTTAATCCTCCTTTGGCTCTCCCCCTCCCCCTGCCACTTCATCTTTCCTGTCACCCTCTCTTCCTCTATTAGTCCTGGTTATATACCAATATCTAATCACTATAGCATATATAAATATTTCCCCAAGAATAGTGTAACTTTGGAGATCTGGTACATAATAAAATTTTAGATTACCATTACTGATGCAGTCATAAATCCTCAGCACAGTGATACCCGGGTACAAAAGTGATTGCTGCCATCAGGTTGGACCTCTGGAAGAACCTCCCCTGTCTCCTTGCTAGTCAGCCCAGCCTAGGGTTTGCTGTTTAAAGAGCTGGCAGAGTTCTGTGCTGTCCTTGTGTCAGACCATCATTTTAAAGGCATCTGGTGCATCACATGACATTAGTTTGATTTCAGAAAGTCCCGTGTGGGCCCATCATTTACCTTTTGATATTCCCTTCATGGAGATTTTTGAAGTTTCCGCTTCCTGGTAGAAAGGCAGTTTTCTGACAAGTACCATGTTTTAAAATGTTGTAATTGAATCTGATTAAGTTTGCATGAGTATAGATTAGTTATTAGAACAATATTACACTTCTTAAAAGCTTTCGTAAGGCTTGAAAAAAATGTGGCTCAGATTTATTGAAATGGGTGCCATGATTCAACTGTGATATCATGTCAGAACCTCTTATGGGTTGGATTTTGAGAGTGAGATATGAAGAGGCTTAGCTGTTAGGAAGACTACTCATATTTTGCCCATTAAAAGTATAAGTACTGGCATAGTGGGCCCTATATGCACTCCACCCCATGTTTGTCCATTGGCAGGCTGACTTTCTGATGTGCAGAGAGGCAAGCTTGCATGTGGTCTAAGCCTCCTGATAGTTTTTGTTTTCAGACTTGTTGATTAGGGCTCTGAATAACAAAGCTTAATGAATATGAGAAATCCTTACTGAAGGGTCTTTAGAGCTCGTGTTTAGATGGGGATGGGCCTTGTCGATTCTAGTGGTTCCAGTAGTATCATTGCGAGCCTGCAGTTTCACAGCCCCCTCTGTCCAGGGCTCCCAGGCAGTTGGTTTGCCTCTGCACACACAGCCCCATGCCCCCTGGCCAGCATCTCTTAGTAGCCCACAGTCACAGACAGTCATGTGATAGGTTAAGTGGAGTTCTTCATTACAGTTCTTTGTGTTTTCATACCATAGCTCTTTTGGTTTTAACCAAAACCAAGGTTTAATGTTTGAATACTATGAATGATACTCTAAAGACCATTGGTCCCCTTGCCCTCCTGATTGTTTTAAGTATAGTTATCATCAGGAGTTTCCTACAGCTGTGTCAGATAAACCTAGGAAATTTGACTCTCAGTCCTGCAGGTTGAATAGAGCTAAATGAGAGGTTTTCAGTGAATGTCTACTGGCATAGCATCCTCCACTGACATCCTTAGACTGTCAGGAAAAAAAAAAAAAAGATAAACTCATATTGCCTTACTATAATGATTTAAAACTCCAGTAAAATAAAAATAGGACAGGAGTCCATGTACACACTCACCCTTGATTTGGGAATTCCTTTTGGAAATATGTGTTGTAATTCGGATAGGGTTTTGCTGCTTTGTATTTGCTTTTGAGAAAGGAACTCTCTATATTAATCATAGATGGTGGTCATGAATGTGTGACACCCCCGCAAGCTAACCCTGTAGTGTCTCTCCCTGAAGTGTTGCAGTAGAACTTGGACTTGGGTGAAGCAGCCAGCAGCAAAGGCAGCCGAGGCAGGTGTGAGCTGGGGCGTGTCCAGCATCCTGCCCATCTCATTGCCAACACACTGTTGTCAAGAGCAGTCAGACTCCCTAAGGTGCTTTTCACCTGAGTTCTAATGGTCCCCTTCTGGTTTTCTCCTCAGCTTTCCATGAAGTCTCAGTTTACCCAAAGAAGGAACTTCCCTTCTTCATCCTCTTCACTGCTGGACTCTGCTCCTTCACAGCCATGCTGGCCCTCCTGACACATCAGTTTCCAGAACTTATGGGAGTCTTTGCAAAAGCCGTGAGTGTTCACCGAGAGGGGGGCCTTAGGCAATGGCCAGGTGGACAGAGAAAGCCAAGGGGAGGGGCCAGAGGGGAAGGGGCTGCTTGCAGAGGTGCTGGAAAGCCTGAAGAGTCATTTAGTTTTCATTAGCATCAGAGCACGATGGCTGGAGGGCCAAGTGAGAGCTCACTGCTAGTGCGAGCCTCCCCTCATTTCCCAAAGAAGTCCTCAGCACCTTCCAGAGAGGGCAGGAAGTCCAAAGGATGATGTAATTTAGGGAATCCTCGAAAAATGAGAAATGGGCAGGGCATGTATATACTGAATGGCACTTTCTTATCCTTGGATATTGTGAATCGTTCATTCATGATTTTTGTTTCCCAAGGTTATTTATGTGATGTTCTTAATGGCTACAAAGCCTTGGGTTGTTTGGGTAATGAACTGTGAGACTGTGAGTAAGCTTGTAGTGGAAGGGAACCAAGATGACATTTAGGAATGGGAAAAATCCACACAGAGCCCTGAGAGAGGGTGGGAGACAACCCTCGAAGAAAGCATCTGCCCTGCTTGCTAAGAACCACTTTCCCTGGAGAGGCCTGATCATTTCTGTCAGACCATGAGGGCGAATGTCCTAATTTTGCCGTAGTGAGCTGTCAAATAGAAGGACTAGAGAGAAAATCATGAGTTGCTTCCCAGACATCTGATTTCAGGATGCCTGGGATCAGTAAGGATGGCCTGTCTCCTTACTCCTGCCTCGACAGTGGCCCTGCCAGGTCCTGAGTCAGCTCCTCAACCACAAACTCCCTGCTCTCTCAGGCCCCTCCCTGACTTGTGGCTGCCCGGGTCAGCCTCCTAATGCTGTCTCACCTCTGTCTGGTATACAAACACAAGAAAGAGATTTCTACATTTCCAGTAAACATGTTACTTCCCAGCTTTTAGTCACTGGTTCCCAGTGATTTTAGGATGAAAATCTCAGTCCTTTTACTTGCCCTAAAGGAGCTTTGATGACCTTGTTAGCCTCATCCCTCACAGGTCTTACACAGACCCAGTTTTCAGCCATGGTGAAGTGTTCCCAATGCACACATGCTTCGGCCTTTGTACCTCAGTGCCTTTACATGTGTTGTTTGTTATGCATGGAATGCCTTGTGACCCCGTGTTCCACTGTCTCCTAAAAGACCTATTTCTTGTTTAATACTGTACTCCTTTCTCTGAAGTTGAGGGACAGGTCTCTGTGTCCCTCAGAGTTCCATGAATGCCTGTGTTAGCACAGATGATTGACGAGAAATTGTCTGTGCCCCGTTAGACTGCAGTCTTTGAAATCAAGTGTGTGCCTTTCTCATATCTGTATTTCCAAAGCTTTCCACAGAGCCTTGATCGCTGTAGGTTCTCAGTAAATGACTGTTAAATGAATGAATAGCAGCACTTTCTGCAGAATAAAACGAATAGTATAAAAATCAGATACCATTTAGTGTTTCTCTCCTTCCCTTGTGATCATAAACCCCTACAGGTAAAGGGTCCTCAAATAAAGTACCTTCTACTGTGGCCATGAAAGGGCAACCACGTGCATCAGAAATACTGTTGTATACGGGCTCACCATAATGACTATTGTGCATGGGTTTCCCCTGTTTAACATGGTGCCCATTGCACCAGTGACCATTCAGAGCTCCACATTGTTCCATTCACAATACTTTCTTTCACTTCTACTCACACTTGCTTCATACTCTGGGAGCTCACCAAAGAAACCTGCTTTCTCTCACAGATTCTCAGGACAGCTCTACACAAAGCAAACTTGAACTTCTAACTCCCTTCTTCCTTCCTTCAGGGAAATTAAGTTTTCTTATGCCTCCTACTTATTTTCCCAAGTCAGCATTACCAAGTTGCTGCCCTGATGCCTTTGGTCCAGGGCCTGTGCTATCCGTTGTCTCCTTCTCTGCAGCTAGCCTCTGAGGGAAAGGACTTGGCAAAGATTAGGGTATAATGCAGTTAAAATGTGTAGTCAGGATGTAGTTCTGGAGCTAGACGATTACTGTTCCCATTTTTCTGTTTCCCCTTTAAACACTCTTAAAACACGTACAGAAGCACCTCATTGTTCCAGTGTTCATTACTTAGCTAGCAGATAACCCTTGCTGGAGATATGGGATGTCAGAGATCCTTAGCCTCTAGTGTACCAATAGCATTTGTGGCCATGCCATCAAAATTCAGAATCCTGATGTTCACACCAGGAATCTGTATTTTTAGCAGTGACCCCACAAGCCCTTGAGGGTGGGAGTTGAAGATTTTATTCCCTTCTAAGGAGTCTGGCTTCATGAAAGGTAAACCTTTGAGAAGTCATATGAGGCTATACTATAGTCTGTCATAGCTATTCAAGTGACAGCTGTCCAGAATTAGTAGTTTGAGTCTGCCTGTACCTTGGAACACCAAGGGAGCTTAAAGATTACTGATAACTGCTCTCCCTAGGGCCTCTTGCCTATTTGACCCAATGCAGTATAGGCATTAGAGTTTTCAGTTCCCTGGAGATTTGGGTCTACATTCACAGCAGAGAAGCAAAGGGATCAGAAGGAGAGCAGAAAGCAAATACATTCTCTAGACAAGTCATACAAGCAGTCTCTTCAGGAAACTGGGCATTTAGCACTGGCTATTTTTCTCACTTCTGTTTCAAAGCATTGGTCTTACATCTGGAATCAAACAACTGGATTAAATAGATTTGGCTTTGGAGTGTTCCTACTCTCTACTGCGATGTGGTTGTATGTTCAACTACTCCTAATTTTAACAAGCATGCTTTGAAACCTCTACTCAGAGGATCAAAGCTGCCTTGCCCTTCATGGAGCTCCAGCACTCTCTGATCTGGAGAGGTTTAAGGAAAAGAAGAAGATGAGCAGTGGCTTGAAGAAGGCAGGGGATCTCAGAAGGGCCCAGTGTGTCCTCAGCAGACTCTGCATCTACACCTCCCCACTTCATCAGACCTCTAAGCACCCCTGCCCAACACCTGGGGGTTATCAGAGCTGCCCCACAGGCTGTCTGCAGCCATTTGCAGCTTGAGAAAGTGATCTTTTCAGTCCTTTCCTGAGATAATGCCCTGGGTGTGATGACTTTTAGTAGATGCAGGGAGATTGCACTACGGCCCCCCAGGCTCCGCAGCGTGGGAACCCTAGCATGTTTGTTCACTAACACAGCCAGTCCCAGCACCCTTAGACAGTGAGTCACTGGAGAGGCGTGAGTAGAGAGGCTGAGACTGGCTGCCTACAATCTAATCTACCTCGATGACTTAGGACTAACTCTTTAGAATGTTTGGTTCTTAAGATAAGGCAGCTCATATAAGTAAGCTATCATACAGGCCCAGCTCTGCCCAGAATGTGGGAAGGTCAGCACTCTGACCCCTTCTGCTCTTGAGGGCCTGTCTTTCCTCCTCTGCTCTCACTCCTTTGAGACTGCCCCCTAACTTTTGCCTCATCTTCATTTATAGGCCTGAACTCTTTGAAGTCTGATATTGATTACAGTGAGATGTCAATTGTCTGCTTGCAACAGGGCACCTGGAATCTATTCAGATAAGCAAGAGGTTTCCACTGTGAACCCAGCGAGCTGCAAGCTATGACCTTCCTTTCAGTGACAGTGTCTTGGGAAAAGGAGGACAAAGCAATTGAAGTGCCACTCGCTCCTTTTTTATGAGCTCAGTTGCATTTTCTTACCAGTGGACACTAATTGAGTTATGGGGCACTTGGGTTAGAAATGTGACCGTGTCTGTCTGCCCTCTGGACAGAGGTTTGGACATTGAGATAGATGAGTTGATCCAAGTTGCCTGGTTTTGCTCATTCAGATTTAACTCTTTGGGCAATAAATTTTCCTTTTAGTTTAGAGATGAAATTTCTGTTTCTCTTCGAGCATTATTAGGTTTCTGGTCAAAGGTTTAGATGTATGGTTTCTCAAACATCTAAAGAACCAGCTGAGTGTCCTAAGGCACCCAAGGAACAAGGCACCCTATCTACAAACCTTTGTAACTCCTGACAAGAGCCACTGACCTCAGGCTGTCGGTGACTGGAAGGTCACAGTTACTTCAGAGGCCTCTTTTCTATGTAGCTTCTTTGTCGGTGTGGACAGGGAGGAGGAATAGGCATCCTAAGAAGGAAGGTGGCCAGGGTATGAGAGGGGCACATCTCAGTTGGGCTTCTGTAGGGAAATACATGAGGCTGTCCAAGAAGATGCTCATGGGGGCCTTCCTCACTCACTCATTCAGGATATAAAAAAGAAAGCGTAGGTCATTACATACACTGGATTACATACACTGGAGGATATCATTTCCTCATAGAACCTCAGTGAGAACAGATGTAGTGTAGCAAGGAAGACCTCCATATCTTGGCATACCGTGGGGAAAAGGAGGAATTCTAGACCTCAGAGTGAAGTTTCTGATCTAAGTCAAGTTAATGCTCCCCAGAAACAAAAAGCAAAAAACCAAAGCTGGTCTTTATTTTTAAGTTACGTTATGACGGATTGTCTTCATGCTACACACTGGTTGAGCCTCCCTGTCCCCCGATGCCCACACTTTAGAGAGTAGAATTGTGCAGGGTACAGCCTTTGAGAATGCTTTTTCTCCCATGGCTCTGGCTTAGGGTACGCTGAGCGGTTCCTTTCCTACACCTTTCCAACTTCAGTCTTCCTAAACCTGCTCAGTACAGCCACTAGCGATATCACCTTGTTTACTGACTTGTGCTTTCCAACGTCCGCTAGAATCTCTGCTGTATCCCCATGGCTTATCACTCAGATCCTCTGCATGGAGCTGAGTACTGTAAGCAGACACTGTCACCTTTGCAGCTTTGGCCATCTCTCATTGTGTATATACCGCTCGCTGTGTATACCACAGACACTTGTACCTGTATCATTTTGTAAATGCAGTTTTATAGTATCAGTGAAATCAGTGTGTGTTGTCTGTGTCATCCTTTTAAACCCACAATATTGGGAAAGCTTTCAGAGGCAGCCAGGCAGGGATCATCCCTGGGCCCAGTGTTTCCACAATGCTTTCCAGCCTTCTTCATGATGGAAGACAGTCTGTTTCTAAACTGGGAAGGATGGATAATCCATCCTGCCCGTTCTCAACCTTCCTAATGCTGTGACCCTTTACTACAATTAATTCTTCATGTCACAGTGACCCCCAACCATAAAATCATTTCCATTGCTACTTTATAACTGTAATTTTGCTACTGTTTTCAATCGTAATGTAAATATCTGTGTTTTCTGAGAGGTCTTAGGCCAGACCCTATGAAGGGGTAATGCCCACAGGTTGAGAAGACCTGTTGTAGGGTAACTCTCCCAAATCTTTTAGCATACTCACAAAAGGATATATTCAAAATATCAGAAACTGTGAACTTAACACCCACTGAGCAGGGAGCCCCCACACCTGGGGCTGCCTATTTCTCAGCGGTACATTCAGCCTGGCGCTCAAGGCTGCCAGCCAGTCTGAACTAGGCCTGTATTCCAGTGAAACTGAGCTACTTACCTTCTAATGGTTTCCTTTTCCATATTCCAACTATTAGTTAGACCTAGAATGTCCACTACGCACATCTGCAACCTTGGAGCTGAGAGCACAGCTCCAGACATTTCTTCTACCGAGTGGAGTCTATTTCCAGTATATCACTTTACAGTCTTCTCAGACTTCTCAACACTTCTCCCCTCTGCTCTAGCCTGGCTTCTCTTCCTTTTCTGAACACCCCTGGGTGTCTACCCCACATCTTAATGTCTTTGCTCCCTCTATCCCTTGTCTCGGAGGCTTCAAAAGAGGGAGTCTTATCCTAGAGTCCCTTTTTCTCATGTAGTATTTAATTGTTTTACCAAGCGAATGTATCTAATTGGTTAATTATCTAAAAAAACAGAATAAAGAAACTTTACCAAGTTTCTTTTAAATGATGCAGCTACAATGTGTGTTATCAGCCTTCTTGATAGGTATGTTCCATACACATTAAACACACAGACACGTGTATGCATTCATACCTCTTACTTTGAAGATTCAAAACTCATAGAATGTGTTACCAGTAAGGGTAATGCTATATGTTTACTGACTGCACTACCTACTAATTTTGTTTGCACTCAAAACCATGTTCCCACTCCATGTTTATATTTACTTCTGAAGTAAAGTTATATGTGGTCTTTGTTGGGATCGGCAGTACTGTGCCACGGAGAGTGCTAATCAAAAGATAAACACAATAAAGAACCAGGTGGTAAACCTTAGCAAGACAAGGTCTTAGTTCTCAGCAGACAGAAGGCCGAGTCCTTCTCTATCCTGATCTCTTCCCTGAACAGACACTTCTTCTGCAAGCTTCTCCCACAATACCAGTTTGTGGATTGAAGTCAGTTGTTTACAAGAACATCATCAGAATAAATTTGAAATTATGATTAGTATCTGATAAAGGAAATTGTATTTCTTAAAAGACACATCGTTAATTGCTGTCTGTTTGTGAAAAGCAGAGAAGTGTTTAGTAACCAAGAGAGAAGTTCCCAGAGGTCCATTCAACAGCCCTTCCTGGAGGACAAGGCCTCCCAACGTGCCAGCCTGCTGCTCTCTCCCCAGCTCCCTGACACATGACACAAAACATGCTGTTTAGGCTGTGCTTGGAAGACACCAGGAAACCAAAGCAATCTGGCATTACAAACTTGACTTTTTATATTCCCATTTAAAGTAAGCTGTAGAACCAACTAGACAATCAAGTGGTCTAGGTTGTCACCACTGTGTAGCTCCTAGGTCCACTTAATACCAACCCATCATCCTCTTGGAAGACACTCATCTTCATAGACGGGGTAAACTCTGAACACTGCTAGCATCTTAGGAACTGTGGCAGATGTCAGAGGGCTGAGGGAGGCTGTCAGCAGACACTTCCTTCTTATCTGTCATGCTGGGGGTGGGGCTGGAATGCATCTTCCACTTTCCCCGACATTTCCTGTAAACATGAGAGGGGTGTGCGCTTGTGAGGCATTCAGAGTAGAACATCCTAAGATGCAGGCGTGCAGGGAGAGTTGACCTTCGTCTTGGACAGGCTTTCTCCTGACTGGTGTTTTTCTGATTTCCTTGCAGTTCCTCAGCACTTTGTTTGCCCCCTTGAACTTTGTTATGGAGAAAGTGGAAAGCATCCTCCCCTCCAGTCTGTGGCATCAGCTGACGCGGATCTGAGGGGAGCCTCCCATCCTTCACTTTCCACACCATCCGCCATCTCTTCTGTGCCAACTTCTCATGGACCGCAAGGAAGCATGACTTTGAAAAAGGGAAACCATTCTGAGATTTTAAACTGTTCATGGACTATCAGTTCCTTATTAAAGGCTGGTTTTGTTGTACAAAATTTATTGATGTTCAGTTCTATTTTATTTTGCCTTCAAAACTGATCAAAAAGTAAAAATAAATAAATAAATAAATAAATAAATAAATAAACTTTTGTGTATTGCAACAACCTGTGTCATCTTCTATCTTTATTCTAACCCTAGACTTGTCTGGTGTTTCCAGTCAACTGATGGGTTTATGCTGTTCTTCAAGGATATGAGATCTGCTAAACCCATACTGATTTTCTTTGCTAGTGGAACTAGTCTCTCTGCAGAGCCCATAGCCCATGACTTGGTGGCTTAAAAAATGGAATCTCAGGACTGGGAATACTGCTCAGTGGTGGAGTACTTACTTGGCTTCTGTGTGCCCAACATTACATAAACAAATGAATAAACAACTGAGGAAAGAAAGGAGGTAAGGAGAGGCACAGAAACACTAGCTCCAGGCAGAATGGGCACACATGTCAGATGGCACAGGGAAGTCAAGTGTCCAAGGAAGTGGAAGCACCATTGAAACACATGTCTGTGCCTCCGTAGGTTGTCCAGCTTTGTGGACGAGAAGCCACAGGCCAGCAGTCTGTCACAGAGCTTGGTTGCTTACACTATTGTGGCCGTTCAAACGTTTTGTCCAAGAGTACCTTTTAAGCTTTCTCATGTTTGCATTTCTGACACTTTAATCTGAGCATTCTTTGGGTATTTTAGTGATCGGAACCAAAATAGTCATTCGTCCTCACCATCTCTCACAGCTCTGTGCATGATTCAAACCTAGCAGAGCATCTGGCTTTGGTTAAGCAAAAGAAGAAAAATAAACAAATACGAATCCTCCATTTAAAGCGAAAAGTACCTTTATGTGACATCTCAATCCAGTGTGTCTTTTGCACACGCTCCCCTTTGATTTAGAATCCTACTTCTTTCTCAGGCACATCGAGGCAGGTAGTGTTCTGGGAATCACCAGCCAGTCTCCTCTCAGGGCTTGGGCTCCTGGTCTCTGCCTCAGGGCAGTGAGATGGGGAGGTAATTTGTGGGGCTAACGTTTCTTTGTATGTATTTTGTGCAAACCCATGATGAGAATGTACAGCTGGCTTCTGCTCTTACAGAACTTATCTGGTGAGACGTTGACCCCCATATACATACTGGTAGTGTTGCTCTTGGGAGTAGGGGCTATCCTTGTCCTGCTGACAACTCTTGACACAGAGTGAATACTCGAGTGATTAGGTGAGTCAGGTGTATAGCACATGAGAGGCACAATAAACTTTGATCTGTGCTAGAGGAGAATGGTTTCAGATGAGAAGGACCAGGGAAGGCTTTAGAAGTATAATTTTTGAGCTGAACAAACAAATTATCTAATGCAATTCTTTAACCTAATAGATGAGGAAATCAGAGCTTTTGGTCTGCTGGGGCTGGGACTCTGGGCTGCGATAAGATCTGAACGAGAGGCTTGAAAACAGTAAGCAGTGTGAAGTGGAAATGGCCCAAAGCCAGTTGTTGCTAGAACCCCCGAGTTGTAGGAAATGAAGCCAAGGAATGCAAGATAAAGTGTGTGTGTGTCTGTGTGTGTGTGTGTGTCTGTGTGTGTGTGTGTTTGTGTCTGTGTGTGTGTCTTTATGACACAAGGTCTCTACGTAGCCCACACTGGCCTCTCAGTCCTCTTGCCTGTCCTCCAGAGTACTCGGATGTCATGTATATGTCAACTAAAATAAGTTCTTAAATATGCTTAGCAAATTTGAGAATTAGGATGTTAGAGCAGATTCATGGAGTAACAGGCAAAACTTCAGCTTCAGTGGGAAGAAAATAATGAATGGGAAAGACCAAGTAGAAACATAATGGAGACAGAGGGACAGGGGCTGTTGGAAGAAACGAGTTCTGGAACTAACAGGCTAAAGGAGGAGGGTACCAACAGATTATGGGTACTTGCATAAGAGTAGCAAATTCTGTGAACTTACAAGATCCTCACCCAATAACCCACAGTCCTTCTTCCAGCAGAGGCCAGGATCCTCTATTTATGGCTCAACTCCTACACCCTCCTCTCAAGGATTCCCAAGGCTTACTCCTGTGGTGCTTGTGGCCACTGCATCCCGTTGTTTTGCTGTTTCGAAGGACCAACACCCAAGCCATCTTTATTTGAAAAAATTAATGCAAACATATTGAGAGACACAGTCAGGACAACCAAATTAACAACCAGGGTTCTTCAGTTCATCGTATTTGCACAACTTCCCCCCACAGGTTGAGGGATCTGACTTTTCACTGAAATGGTGACAAACTCATGTTTTTTGGTCCCTCACAAGGCTGCATCAAAGTCCTTCTTAAGGCACTTTCTTCTATGAAGACTCTTCTATCCAAACAGTGATTGTCCAGTCATCCATTGTGTGTTTGTTAGAACATAAATGCAGTCATTCTAAGTTTAATGGCAATAGGTCAAATCTAGCCATGTTTAGCAATGTACATGGGAATGATATATGACAATATATTTGCTTTTGAGTTCATTTGACAGTACTTAGTAATGCCAAAGTTTATAAAAGAGTTGGGGAGGCTTATTCATTAATATAGCCTTGAATAATTAAACATTAATTAATCAGGTTTTTCAGGACTGGGTAAATTCAAATCAGACACATCTGATTTTAGTGTTTGGTTATTGGGAGTGATTTTTATTATCCTTTTAAGTACCTGCTGTGGAATCAGTTCATGCAAAATTTCTTCTTGAATCTATGGAATATTTTTCTAGGAAATTATCATTTTCTCTAGGTATTCAAATATGCTACTATAGAGGAGCATGTTATGCAATTTGTATATTTCATCACTTTTCTATTGGCTAAGGTTATTTCTCTCTTTCCTTGTTCTAATTATAGAGTCTTTCTTTTGTGTGTGGGGGTGGGGATGAGGGTACATTTACTACTGGCATGTGTGTAGAGGCTAATTCTGATGTCCAGATAGAACAGTATCTCTAGAGAAGGACCCATGGTGCCACCTATATCTTATCTCTGACTAGGACCTGGGAGAAGGTTCAGCTGGCTGCTGGTGCTGTCAATGTCAGTGAAAGCCCTGTAGACATCAACGCCTCATCACTAGCCATCCTGGCTGGTCTCATTCTGAGGTTGTCTGATTTCTGGGTGGCATATGCTATGTCTCTGATAATTGGTACATTTCTGACCTCTGAACATCTTGTGTTAGTCTGCCTTAGATGGCAATGCATAGTATAGATTCTCCTCTACATTACATAGACTTCTCTGATCATGAAATGACAAGGTGGATACTGGCTCTGAAGTTGTGGACATACAGAGCACCAATCCTGTGAGCATCCCTGGCAGGTCTTGCCTCATTTCTACATCTGTGGATATCCTGAAGTAGACTGAAAAAAAAGGGCAGGGTAGTACTGAAAAAGCTGTGACCCAGGATCAACTTCGGGTGAGTGAAAGGAGTCTCTAAGTTCACTGATGCTTATCCCAAGGCAGGAGACTTGTCTGCCTGTCTAGCAGATACCCAAGCCCGGGTAACCAGCCAGCCACAGAGGACTAGTCTGAATGAAGTTCTTGATTCAACCACTGACTGGGCACAACCACCCACTAAACAGGCTTAAAGCCACTTATCACCACTTATCTGGTGATACTTAAGCAATTATAAACAAGGTGAATGAAAAATAAATATCAGTTTCATGGAGAACAAAAGATGTACAGCTGGCCATGGTGACACGTGCCTATAAGCTTGGTGCTCCAGATATTAAGACAGGAGGATCGCCGTCTGGGCCCAAGCAAAGAGCAGGTCTCAGGCGGCAGCTCTGTACCCAACTTCAGAAAACCGAGAGAAAGAGGTCCTCCCAGGAGCTTTAACTCAGACAGCATCCCAGGTAAAATCGAATCATCCGTGATGTCTGCTGTTAGAAGTTCTAATCCAGATACTGGCCTCCGAACTTATACTACTCAGACCTTTGAAGACCACTGACAAGGACATCAAACAGCTAGAGATTGACATCACTAATCTGAAGAAATCCCTCGTTTCGCTGTCTGAAGAGACCTCCTAAAATCGCAAAGATCCTTATTGGACTTGATTTACTCTATTACAATAGAAAAGGCTGTGTACAGATCTTGACTGTGTACAGCCCTTAAAGAAGAAAGTTGCCTTTACATAGACAAGACAGGGAGGGTTAAAGAGAGCATGAAAAACGTCAGTAAAGGCCCTGAGAAAAATCAGAGAGAGAAAGAGACAGATGAATGCTGGTACAAGAATTGGTTTTCAGCCTCTCCAAGGTTGTCAACCGTACTTCCTCCCATCTTGGAACCATTATTTGGGTTCTTTTTGCTTTTTTCTGCTGGTCCCTGGCCCTCAAATAGGCAGACTAACTCTGTGATACAACAGATAAATAATTTGGTAGCAAAACCTATTCAGATACATTGTCATAAGTTAGCTATGGAGGACCACGAGACTCAAGATGAGGTTGTTACTTTATACAGGGTGTTCCCAAAACCCATCTTCACCCAACCTAAAAGAGGAGGGGACTTCTGCCTCTAGACCAAGCAGGGAGGGGCCACCCAGAGCCCCCTCTGACAGGTGATCTGAATTCTTGCTTAGGCTTCGAGGTTAAGCACTGCAAGGAAATATAAATAAAAGTTAAAAATCTCTCTCTGGGTTCCCTGAGGGACAAGCCTGACTGCATAAGGGTTGATGTCAAAAGTATCCCCTCTCCAGGAAAAAGACATCGGGCTGGGTATGGCCCTCATGCCTCACTGGACAACAACAGGGGGACCGGAGCCATTACAAGGTCCCCTTCAATTAATGGAGGTCAGGCCTCTATCCCCGCCTTCACAAGATTAGAATCGCCACAGCCCTTCTATACTTAGAGAAGGGAGGAGATGTCAGGGGCAGCCCTGATTACACACTGAAGGCCTAAAATCAGCCATAGGCCTAAAATCAGCAATAGGCCTGTCATACATGTATACTAACAGCAAATCTTGGGTCTCTGTGGAAAAACATTGAAACAGATGGCTATAAGCTATTGTAAACAGGCAGCTTTTGTGGAAATTTACCAGCCCGAGTAGTTCTAGACCTTGTAAATAGGTAGCCTTGGTAGACAATACCAACTTAGATAAGGACAAGTGAGTCATAGGCAGAGTCATAGTGACCTGTCCCCTGAACC